CCAAAGTAGTTAAAAAGATTTACTCAATTGAGCATATTATAAAATATAATTATAATTGTAAAAATCCATTGTTAAATTCAGGTGAAACTTAAAATCATTTTTTTTTTTAAATTTATGATTTATATAGCAACATATTACAAAAAAATTTGGCATATTATAGACTGGTAGTAGCACACACAAATAGAGTTAAAAAATTAATAAATTATAAAGTAAAATTATTTACTTTTGTAGTTGAATACTTTTATCATATCAAATCTAATTCGACAATAAATACTTTAAGAATATTAAAAATTAATGATTTTAATTGTTTGTATGGAAAAAGCTGGTTAAGCTACTTTTTATTTGAATAAGGAATATTTTTTTGATTTTTAAGAGTAATAACTTAAACTAATCATTAACTTAAATATCATAAAAATCATTAACTCAAATATCATAAACTTGAAAAAAGTAAGTCTAGTGAGGGTTGGCAAAATAAATCGTAGCCACAAAAAGAACCACATAGTAAAATAATATTAACATGAATATCAATTTCTTCTCACGAGGGGAGACTATAGTGATAAGATCCTTTATATTTATTGAAATTATTGAATCTAAATGAGATAAATATCAAATGATTTGAAAATTCTATTCTAACTCAAAAAAAAAAATGCAAAATTTTAAAAGCCATAGACGGTTTTGAACCTCGTACCCTAGGCGTGAAAAATCAAGGTGTTACTCATTCGGCAACTGTACGTTGCTTTTTGTTGTATGATAAAATTGGCTATTTAAGTTAACTCAAATTTAAAAATTACTTTTTCGACTTTAAAAAAGTAAAAAAATTTTAATAAGTTTAATTTCATATGTCTTATGAATTTATTCTATGTCAATGAAATTATATAATATTCANTTTATTCTATGTCAATCAAATTATATAATATTCTTGAAAGTCAGTTTATTCCCCTAATAAGATATTTTAAAATAAAATAAAATACAAAACCCAGAATTTTAATAAAAAAATAGCATATTTTTGAATACGGTAGCCTTTTGCGCATAGAAGATAGGTCGTCGGGACAAATTTTTTTTTTTCATTTAGTAGTACATAAAATAAGCTTTAATTTGATATATGTTTAAAGGACGCAGTATTTCCGGAACATTTTCAAAAGTTCAGTTGAAAAAGTTCTATTTTTTATACAATGTTTCAAAGTTTGAACCCCCCCTATATAAGGGGAAATTGTCTAATTTTAATAAAAAGTATGTCAAATGGAAGATGTACTTATAATGTATTTAGAAAAAAAAAAATTGTGCTGATACATGCATTTTTCGAAAAGTTATAGCATTTTTAAGTTGAAAATTAAAAATTGAAAATCGAAAATTTTAACACAAAAATAGTGTTTTTTTAACTACGGCAACCGTTTACATGCAGAAGATAAAGTGTCGGGACAAATTTTTTTTTTTCATTTTATAGTACATAAAATAAGCTTTAATATGATATATGTTTAAAGGACGCAGTATTTCCGGAACATTTTCAAAAATTAAGTTGAAAAAGTTAGTTTTTGTAAAAAAGTTGCAATTTTAAATCCNGTTCAGTTGAAAAAGTTCTATTTTTTATACAATGTTTCAAAGTTTGAACCCCCCCTATATAAGGGGAAATTGTCTAATTTTAATAAAAAGTATGTCAAATGGAAGATGTACTTATAATGTATTTAGAAAAAAAAAATTGTGCTGATATATACATTTTTCAAAAAGTTATAGCATTTTTAAGTTGAAAAATTAAAAATTGAAAATCGAAAATTTTAACACAAAAATAGTGATTTTTTAACTACGGCAGCCGTTTAAATGTAGATAAAAAAGTGTCGGGACAAATTTTTTTTTTCATTTTGTAGTACATAAAATAAGCTTTAATTTGATATATGTTTAAAGGACGCAGTATTTCCGGAACATTTTCAAAAGTTCAGTTGAAAAAGATCTATGTTTTTTACAATATTTTAAGTTTTGAACGCCCCCTATATAAGGGGAAATTGTCCAATTTTAATAAAAAGTATGTCAAATGAAAGATGTACTTATAATGTATTTAGAAAAAAAAAATTTGTGCTGATATATACATTTTTCAAAAAGTTATAGCATTTTTAAGTTGAAAATTTAAAATCGAAAATCGAAAATTTTAACACAAAAATAGTGTTTTTTTAACTACGGCAGCCGTTTAAATGTAGAAAAAAAAGTGTCGGGACAAATTTTTTTTTTTCATTTTGTAGTACATAAAATAAGCTTTAATTTGATATTTGTTTAAAGGACGCAGTATTTCTGGAACATTTTCAAAAGTTCAGTTGAAAAAATTAATTTTTGTAAAAAAGTTGCTATTTTAAATCCACCCCAATGAGCAGGTTAAGTGATAGATTTTCAAAAAAATGATATCAAATGAAAGGTAAATATCTAAGGTTTTAGTATAAAAAAAAATTATGTTGATTTGTTGATTTTTCAAAAAGTTATGGAAGTTTTAAGAAAAAAAAGTGAAAAAATTTCGAAAATTAGCGATTTTTAAATTTGTAATTTTTTTGGATATTTCCCCCATTTGCGGGGAACGAGGGAATTTTTTTCAATTTTTAAGGGTAATGTCTTCAACTAGATACGATTTGTGATCTTTTGACGTATTTTTGAAAGAAATCGGTCCAGTGAGAGCTCAGAAAAAGTGGCAACAGACATAAAAAAAAAAAAAAAACACATCATAGTAAAATTAATACCTTCTCCGTTTCGCATCGAAGCTAAAATTAAATACAAATTGTTTATACTTTACCGCTGATGCAATGAAGACATACACTAAATATATTTTTAACATAGTTCTTTTTTAAATTTAAACTGTTAAAATTAAAAATGATAACCTTAAATTGTGGCTTTTATACTGAGAATTGATGCTTATTAATAGGTGTTTGTTAAAATTTACCACGTAAGTGATTAAAGTGTAAATGTATAAGTATAGTTATATTATTTACTTAAATAAAAAATAAGATAGATAAATATGTGCCTCTTAAATCTTTAAATAATGCGTGATTTTTTCGATAAACATATGTTTTTTATTTAAGGTCCAATAAAAATTTACTTAATATTAAAAAATATTTGATTATTTTTTTATCGACAAAATCATGATACTGGTTATTTAAATAAACAAAATATAACCCAAATCCCCGAAAATTTTAATAAATAACTAAATAATCAAAATATTGCTTCTTAAACCTACTTCATATTAATCAGCACTATTTATCAATAGTATAAACAAATTGTACTATATAGGTATTTTTAATCATTAGGGATGCTATCTACCTCTCCATTAAGTGATATTGATTATACATAAAAAATTATAATTAATATCATGACGGAAAATAATATCTTAAAATTAAAATTAAAATTAAAATTTGACTTTTCTAAGCTATATCTATAAAAATGTGTAATATATTATACATTTATTAGAGTTATGATAACTTTTATATTATTAAGTTTAATTATCAATTAGTTTCCGAAACATTTATTATTGCCATCGTAGCCAGATATTTCCCTAGAAGTCGTGCTACCGACCACTACGTTCTTGAGCATAAGAACGGTAAAAATACCATCGTGGTTGAAGTTCTAAGCAAGGCTTCATTTAGCTATTTATATTAAATAAATTGATGAAATTATTATCCCAATCTGTTCCATTTTACGTTCAATCTTTTGAATTTATCTAAATTATTTTATAATACTACAGCCTTACATGTACGGGACGTATTTTTTTAAATAATCAAGTGAATTAATTTAAATTTCCTAACAGGAGCACAATGAACCTTAGATCAGCCCATAAAAATAAAACTATGATTTTTAGCTTCGATACGAAGCGGAGAAAGTATTAATTTTACTATGTGTTTTTTTTTTTTTTTTCACTAGACCGATTTCTTTCAAAAATACGTCAAAAGATCACAAATCGTATCTAGTTGAAGACATTACCCTTAAAAATTGAAAAAAATTCCCTCGTTCCCCGCAAATGGGGGAAATATCCAAAAAAATTACAAATTTAAAAATCGCTAATTTTCGAAATTTTTTCACTTTTTTTTCTTAAAACTTCCATAACTTTTTGAAAAAATTTATAAAATTAAAGCTTATTTTATGTACTACAAAATGAAAAAAAAAAATTTGTCCCGACGATCTATCTTCTATACGCAAATGGCTACCATATTGAAAAATATACTATTTTTGTATGATAATTATGGGTTTTGTATTTTATTTTAATAGAAGTTGATGTTGCTTTTGGAATAATCCATCAATTTTTTAAAATTAAACACTATCTACAGATTTGCATCGAAGCGTTCCTTATGATAGTGATTTTAATCACTATCAGATTAAATCTATACTAGACCCTACTATGCAATGTCTCCACTATTTTTTTTCGTTATTCATTTTCGAACTAATACAGTTATTTTAATCATTTCTTATTTAGGAAACGGCCCTTATAAACAAAATATAATGTAATAAGCAAAGGATAATTATTAAAAAATATTTATGACTTTAAGTAACTGTATTTTGTTATTTCTGGACTAAATTTTTCATAAAATCACTTAAGAACTTAGTTTTTTTATAATAGTAAACTATAACAATATTATCTCAATCAAATATAGTACATCTTGATAAAAATTATATTTCGACACAACAATATCGAAAAATAATTTTATGTATATTTAACCCTTATGTGACTGGAAAGGTACCCGGGTACCTTTTCAGTTTTTAAATTTATTTTCCTTCTAAATATTTAGTATGTATGGTTAGTCCTTCTGTGACATCTCTAAATAGCATGCATAGTTAACAAATTTATATTTTGTATTTGAAAAGTATATAATTTATTATACTTAAAATAGCGTTGTTAATTTTACACCTTATAAGGACGTAGTAGGTACCTGGGTACCTCTATATATCTATATTTACTATAAGGGGTGTAATTTATCAGTTTGAACTACCTATTATATTATAACTTAGGGTTTAAGATTACGAATGACAATCAATAATATTCCAAATATGTTTATTTAATTTCATCAATGATACTAACCATACTCAAAATACATAGATTATATAAATTTTGATTTAAATTAAACAGAAATATTAAACATAATTTTTTTTAATAAAATATAGATATCAAATAAAAATATAATTTAGTAGCCATCACATTATTTATACAAATATGTTAAAAATAAATATATAACTTAAATTACAATTAAATACATCAGACTAAAATCGTTTAAACGTATTTGCTAAACATGATAAATGACAGCATATCCCTTGGATTGAAAAGAGAAAGGTGTAGTGGCACTCAGCGCTTGTTTTTAAAAACGTTTTTTGTTTATTTTTCCACGTTGACGATGTTGAATAAACAAGTTTCAGCGTAAATTTTCCTAAATTAACAGTCATATTATTATTAAATATTTTATCTACATGACTGAAATATTATAGCATTTGAAAAATGGAAATATTTTATGTTAATATCATTATCACACATTATAAATGTATTAAAGTATGATAAATAATGGCAACAAATACCAAAGAGAAATGTAAAGTAAAACCCCCATGGAAATACAAAAAATACAAAGGGACATATAAAACAGTTTTTTTAACAGATATTATTTGTAGTTTAATTACAAAAATAATTAACACCAATACGTCCAATCTCACGATAAATTTCATATAAAAAATATTTATTATACTAAAGTAAACAATCAATATTATACAAATTAATAGTGAAGCATGAGCAATAAAGGAAATCATCAAAAATGATTCATTTAGTTAAAATGAAAATAAAATAATCAAATACTTAAAAATAATGATAATGAACTATTGTTTTGAACAGCATATCCAAAAATAAGGACAATGTGATTTATGTACACAGTATTGATAATCTTAAGTACCTAATTTAATGAAAATGTCATACCATATGATAATGATATATTTTTTACATTCCATTGTAAGCTGGACCACCGCCTGGTTCAGGAACAACCCAATTGATATTTTGGGTAGGATCTTTGATATCACATGTCTTACAGTGAATACAGTTTTGTGCATTAATTTGTAATCGCTCACCATTTCCACTTTCATCAGGTACATATTCATACACACCTATAAGTAAATAACAACGGTAAATAGAGAAATTTCCTAACAAAAATATTTTAACAAACGATTTATCATGGATATACTTAAAATAATAATTTTTATAAACAACAATAAAATTTCTATGTTATAAATTAAAATATCGTTCAGTTTGACATTTTTTCAGGAACTCAGAATTACATGTATTCATGCTTTTAGTGGAAAAAAATTTAAATGTTTGTTTCTGAAGTTGAATTTCTAAGTATTCATTATAGCTAAATATTTCAACCTTTATGATTAAAATAGCCTATCACCATAAAATTTCCATACAAAAGTAAATTTTTCTTTAGTAAATATAATTAAAAGATAATTTAACAATCTTCGTTATTATAAAAATAAAATATTTGTATAACACAATTTGATTGACATGGTTATTTGACACAAAACAACGTGTTTACAACTTTAAAATAGACATCACAGTTTATATCTAAATAAATATAGTTTAAAAAACTAAAAAAACACGATTTTGAAGCACATCGAACTAAAAAGCGTGTTTTTTAGTTTTTTAAACTATATTTATTTTTTACTTTTTAGTTTCATGTTATGATAGTAGTTACTATCAATATCATGGTTGTTACGGGTAACGGGAAATCAGGGTTCGATTCCGGGGAGGGAGTCTGAGAAACGGCTACCACATCCAAGGAAAGCAGCAGGCGCGTAAATTACTCACTCCTGGAACGTGGAGGTAGTGACGAAAAATGACGATACGGAAATCATCCCTCGTAATCGGAATGAATACTTTATATCTCTTAATTAGAATAAATCGTGTTAATATATTAATTTTAATAGTAATTAGAATATATATATTTATACAAATAATGCGACTTAACTACGTAAAAGTATCATGCACTAAGTNGTATACATTTTAATAGTAATTAGAATATATATATATACAAGTAAAGCAACTTAAGTACGTAAACGTATCATGCACTAGGTATAGCCGTGTTTGTGGGCGGGCGAGGGGTCGGACTAACGTTATACCCGAGGTATAAACGGCGGTAGGNACTAACGTTATACCTGAGGTATAAACGGCGGTAGGAATATATAAATATATATACGTAAGGCGCATTAGACGCGGGCGTTATTGGTCAGTCAAAATAAAAATTTGTTTATATATAAATAATATTGATGACAAGCAAGCGTGTACGGGTACGATAACTAAAAATAAATTTTTATAGGAATAGTGTGCCGTCGTTAGGGGAGAGGTGAATGCGTTACGATAGTCTAGTCTCAAGGCCATAGACGACGGGATACGCGATAATGCGTGACGTTTGGAGAGTTACAAACATACATACATACAGGTGAAACTAATATAAGCGTGTTAATATTAGTAATTTAATGAATATCTAAGAATAAAGAAACAACTACACTTATCTTAAAAAGATTACAAAATATTAATACATAAAACATAATGCAGTAAATACCACAACCATTAAAAATTAATCTAGATAATAAATGATAAATATTATACCCATAAAATAGTAACTAACTCATTTAAAAAAAAAATTATTCCTTGAGCCTATGTTATTTATTGTTAAGAAAAACTTTATGGTCATCAACATTTTACTAATGTTAAATTTTGATCTAATATATATATATATATATATATATTCTTTATTTAGTACTAGAAATATTAAGTTATATTATTTACTAACGAAATTTCTCTTATAAAAATTTAATAAAATTATAATTTAGATTTTCTTATCAACCTTCTGTTTGCATAAATATGTTTTTTAAATTGACGTAATGTCTGATTTTGTTCTTAAAATTACAGTAAATTTCTATAGATATGTACTTTTGAGCAGACTTAGAAAAAACATTTGTCACAATTGGAAAGCTATGTAATTTTACGCCTTGGAAGTGTATGTAAATAGATTAATTGATATTACAAAGAAATTCATACAATGTCAAAATAAATTCTTAGTAAAGAATAATTCAACCAATATACATCACAATGTGGTATCGCAGTGACGTATATATCTCATACATATTCCAATGATACTATCCAAATAGTGTACAATCCTTAGACCAATATAAGTGTAATATTTTCATGTGGAAATAAAGTTACAAGTATAAATTGTAATTTTACATTCTACTACAACAACAAAGAGCATATTCAACACAGAATGATATATAATCGAATATTAAGTTGTATTATCACTTAATCCTCGGGCAATAAAGAAACAACTACATAGATTATTGTACAGATTGATCAGTAAGTCAGAAAACGGTTTCTATTGTTCTCATTGTTACAAACAATGAGAACAATAGAAACCCGTTTCCTGACTTACTAAACATCCTGTATATTATAAACGTTAAGTTGTTATCTTTTTAGATAATGTAGTTTACCTTAGATGGTCATATGATCTGTCAGGTCATAAATTTTTCAAATACTATTGAATTGCCTTGTAATAGTATAAGAAAACAACATAGTATAAGTATAAATAAACATAATAGTAAATCACATTACACTTNATAAACGTTAAGTTGTTATCTTTTTAGCTAATGTAGTTTACCTTAGATGGTCATATGATCTGTCAGGTCATAAATTTTTCAATTACTATTGAATTGCCTTGTAATAGTATAAGAAAACAACATAGTATAAGTATAAATAAACATAATAGTAAATCACATTACACTTATTAGATATAAAATAATAGAATTCACAATATTGATATGTTACACACTTGAGAAACGGTAGGAAAACATTTAAGAAGTTCTATAAAACGATAACCTCGCGTTTAATTAATATAACATACATCCAAATAACAATAATAACCCCTTGATTATATTCATCACTACGTGATGTACAATGTGTTACACCGGTCGTGTCCAGTCGGACACATTGGTAATGTTCCCCTAGAGAATAACGAATTGTAACTCTGGTGCTCACACATAATACGCAATAGGATGAATGACAGTGTATTACTTGGTTTGTAGGTGATACCTCAACTTATATGATTTTCCCACCATTTAGCACATCTACTGAACTTTACAACCCCTCGAATATTTCAACATTTAACAAACGGCAAGCAATGTCGAGTAACAAGCAATGTGTACATTACTTTATAACAATTTTAAGGCCAATTTTAAATAACGCTACTTTTAGCTTCCATGCGAAGCTGAGAAGGTATTGGTTTTACTAAGATGCGTTTATTTTTTTTTTTTTTTGCGTCTGTTACCACTTTTTCTCAGCTCTCACCGAACCGATTTCTTTCAATGATACGTCAAAAGATCACAAATCGTATCTTGTCGAAGACATAACCCTCAAAAATTGAAAAAATTTCCCTCGTTCCCCGTAAATGGGGGAAACCTCCAAAAAAATTACAAATTTAAAAAACGCTAATTTTCGAAATTTTTTCAATTTTTTTTACTAAAAATTACCATAACTTTTTAAAAAATAACCAAATCAATATAATTTTTTTTTTATAGATGCATGATGTCTTTACCTATCATTTGGTATATTTTTTTTATAAATCTGACTTTTTTCCTGTCCACAGAGGGGGATTTAAAATTACAACTATTTCACAAAAACTTAATTTTTTCAACTTGACTTTTGAAAATGTTCCAGAAGGTCTGACACTTTTATATATATCTTAAATTAAAGCTAATGTAATCTACTTTATTATGTAAAAAAAAATTTCGGATTTTATTTTTTACATTTTTAACATTATAATGCTATAACTAATTTAAAAGTGTATGGATCAACATAATTTTTTTTGGAGAAATAATATTTTTTAATATTCCCTTTTTCTTTTGATATAATTTATCTTAATCAGGATATTAATAAGGAACTAGCAGATCATGTAGCTTTTGGAATAATCCACTAATTTTTAAAATAAAACACTATCTAAAGATTTGCATCGAAGCGTTTTTTTTTTTTATAGTGATTTTAATCACTGTCAGATATCATTATACTTGATCCAACTATGCCGCGACCCCCGTGTGCTGGGTTTTTTTTAATGTATTCTATTCGTAAAAAATAAATAAAACTTAAATAAGTAGAAGATGGTGACAAATACTGTAACAATCAATATATTGTTATAGATAATAAATACTCTTGGGAAACAAGAAATTTTAAAGTAATTTAAAAAATTTATACGCATGTCATCAATCGACTTTGAATACTTTTTTTCTATGCGAGAGACTTATTATAACTTTGCAGTTTTTGGCAACTCATATCCCACCCATATAAATAAGTAATGCGCGTTTAATTTTTAAAGATATTGTTGATTTCAATTAAAACAAATAAAATTCTGTAAAAATAATACATTTTTTATAAAATGTTCTCCGCGTTTATTATATTATTAATTTGTTCAAACTATTGATCAGGCGTGGATAATACTTATTTGGGACCCCGAAGCGAGATTTTTTAATTAGCATCAAATTATTTCATAAAACTGTAAATAATTTTTTGATTTCAACACAAATGAAAACTGCAGATGACAACAAATGTATAATAGTAATATAACTCTGAATATTTTTTAGTTATTTTAACAATTAGGCAAAATACAAGACCGGCTTCTTTCTCTTTGCATCGCGTCCCTAGTCTCTTTAATCGTGACCTATTCTTAACATCACATAGATATTAAACAAATCTCTATCACGGTAATTCTTGTTGTTCTTAACGCAAATATAGAATTATTGGTAAAATATTCTACTAAATGTGCTATCATCCATTATAAATAAAAATGATGTCATATACCTTTAAAAATCGTTTACTAGCAAACATTGTTTTTCTAGGATATTAAAATAAATTACGTAGTAAAAACAATTGCTTTTAAAAAAAACATGTTATTCAAATGTAAGATATGATTATTCGATTATAAAAATAAAAGTAATAAGTAACCATCAAAAATAACCTTTTCAAATCATCAAACAGAATAATAATAATAATCCATTAATCCACATTAAGTAAGTTTTTTTTGTTCTACAAAGAATTTATGACATTTATAAAAGTTGAGTACAAAAGTTGATTTTTATTTACTTTACATACCATTATGACCAAGTGTATTTTTTATTTGTATTACAATACAAAATAATTATATTTTATTTCAAAATAAAAATTTGAATAATTCGACCCATCGCGATTATTATCATCGATGGTAATAATTATCTGTACAGATAAATTTCATTACGATAGTTTTGAATGAGTCGGCCAATTTTACCTTCAAAATTTTCTAGAAAATTGTGTCATAATTTTTAAATAAAGCAATTAAAGTTTCTTTAAGAAATAAAAGTATAGATATAAAAAAAGAATAATTTTATAAGTTCATTAAGTCGCAATTACTAGTAACTTTAAAAATAAATTTGCGTTAAAATGATCATACACTTACAAATTTTTAACTTATACCATTTTTACCTAAAATAAGTTACATTCTCAAATAATTGAGTAATCGTAGAAATGATCCGTAGAATCCAGACCCAAAAAGACATAAAACCATACTAACAAGGAATATGGAAGGGTGAAACTCTAATCTAAACTACATTATAAAAGTTATCTTAATCTCTCGTAAAAAATTCCTAAATATACCACTATATTCTAAAAAATTATTTTAATAGAAAAAATTATTTTATAAATCAAAGATATTAATAACCCAAACGATTTATTCTCAACAAAATTTAAAGAAAAGGCTAATTTCAATTTTACTACTCCTAAATGCTACTTGTATATAAAATACATATTATTTTCTAAATGTTCAGGAGAGTTAATTTCAACCCACTCTTTAAACTTTAAGATAATAATTTTTTTTTTGTTAAAAACGTATATTATAATTAGTATTTAGAATCAATCAACACAATAGGAAGATTAAAAAAGTCTAAGACTAGCCTTTTTTACAAAGTCGCCAACCAATCAGGATTTTATCATTATCAGTATTGAAAATAAAAATAAGAATCTTTTCTATTTAGTTGTTAGTTTTCATTGTTTATTATTTATTTGATACTTTTCCTTGATTATTATAAAATAGTTTATTTTAACATTATGTTTATAACGTGTTATATCATGAAATTGAATTATTTATTAAGACAAGATAATTTCAGTGCCCTATCTTTTCGACAGAAACCGACTTACATAAATAAACTAAATATTTCAATTTTATTTGAAATTACGAATATTTCTCAAATATTATTAAATAATAAATTTGCTATCAATTATTTCGATAGAACAATTTTTTTTTTAATAATTTAGTACTAAAGCTTTTTCTTCTATTAATAAGAAAATTAATTTTTTTAACAAATAAATTTATTTAGTAATTCTATAAAGAAAGAAACCTTTTATACAAATAAAACTAAGCAAAATTTTTAATCTAATTGTTCGCGCTGCTTAAAAAAAAATACTAGATAGCAGCTTATTTGATTTCATCCACTCATCTTCCCTTCATCTCCCGGTCTCTGGGCGTCGTCGGCCGGTTATCATTGCCGGTCGACATGTGTATGTAATTAGATTAGTATAAAATTAGGAAATTGTTTTGTTGGTTATACGTTTTTAGTAAAAATTATATTAATGTTGTTTTTTCCTAAAGTAAATGTTATTCAAGTTTGTTTATGTAGTTAACTGCTTTAGTATAAGTAATATTGTATTATATGAGTAATGTATTTTGATGATTAATATTAGCTGAAATTATTTAAGTCATACGGATGACGTTGTCAGATTATCTAAGGTAACAATTTTATGATTTATTTGTTGTTATATTCCACACGGCTGGATTAGAAAAATTGTGTAAGTCACACGGATGACAATTGCCAATTTTAATGCATAAATCATACAAAAAATCTTAGTGTATAAATTATATAGCCAACATTATTATTTATATTGAATCTCGTTTTTAGTTATATCTATGTGTATATAATCAAATTCATAGTTAATAGTACTGATTTATATTTATTGTTGTATTTGTCAACTCTTATTACTAAATTGCACAAGGTGCTATTGTAAATTATAAATATTTAATACAATTTAAATTATTGTTATTTGTATGGAAATATAATTAATTTTGTGTGAACTAGCGACCACAGTTTTCCTTCAAAACAAATTTAAACGTCCTAAAATCCTTTCTAATTAATCACCAGATAAGTGTGATACAATTTCTCGCCCCTGGTATTAACACTAATAATGATTATAAATTATCTTACCAGCAGGACAAAATCTTCCTTCTGGCCCATCATACAGTTCAAGATTTGTACTAGTTGGTACAGAATCATCTAATAATGTTAAATGAGCTGGTTGATCACTCTCATGATTAGTTCCTGTTAAAGCAACTGATGACAACAGATCAAAACTTATTTTTCCATCTGGTTTTGGGTATTCAATAATAGAAACTTCAGTCTTTTTATTTAATCTTGCATGATCTGGTGCTACAAAACAATGAAATACATGTAAAATAATACTTAAATTCTTTAATTAAATACAATCATAAAACATAATAAATTTAACATTAAAAATTACTTTAATTGGAATAACAATAAAAATAATGAAATGCTAGACTATTTTTAAAAATATACATTTTAATAATTCATAAATTATATTTTTATGCCTCGAGTGTAAAAATTTTATCTTTCTTAAATTAAATCACACAATAGTATTCTCCCTTAAAATACATCATTCATTCCCTTCAATAATGGTACATCTCACAATATAATGTTTTTGAGTTATGATTGTTATCAGAAAGACCTAAAAAGTAATATATTCAAGCAAAATCGTTATATCTATAATTTAATAATAAGCTGACCGATAAAAGACTGAATTACTTATTTTTACAAAATTTTAATTTTTTTAAATTGCTTCTAAAAAATTAAGTTTTTGTGATATTGAATGAGATATTATTGTTAGTGTTTTAATTGCATTACATACTATAATTATTATAAAATTAAATCTTGTTTTTAAATAACTTACTTCCATGGCTTAGTGTCCATGGTTCTTTTCCTTTAATTGCTAAAGAAAATCCAGAGTATGCCATTCCACCAAATATACCCAATTTTGAATGAAAAGATGGACGTATATTTCGAACACTTTTAAGATCTGACCAAATCCAGCTACTTTTAACTCTTTCTTCATAATCTTTAGGTTCTAATCCTAAAAAAACAATCCATATCACAGAAAAATTTAATTTTTTTTACAGTAATTTAATAAAAATTAATTAATCTGATACCAGAGAAAATTATAAAGATCCAATTTTGTAATTACATACTAATAAAATACTAATTAATCCCAGGCCAACTATGGATAAAATGTGTTTATCATCCTTAAGATAATAAGTAAATTTTTTTAAATATATGTAAACAATACTCAAATATACTTAAAAATGTAAATGATTTCAAATATAATATTGAAAACTACATTTTATCAGTATTTCTTTCTTTCAACAAAAAAATTAAAATGATATTACACATTTTTTAACGCGAAAAATTGTACTATGATGAAGTGTCCTAAGATTCAAAATTAATTTTAACTGTTAACTATCACAGCTCTAATAATAAAATATTTTAAAGTAAACTTCGCAAGAATGATCAACTTTCCAATATATCCTTAATTTATGAATTATAAATTAGTACAATTACTTACCGATAGTTGTACTAGATCCACTTGAATTCATTAAGGTATCATAAGTTGATTCTGCAGCTAACATGCCTGATTTCATAGCATAATGCGTTCCTTTAATTTTGGGAACATTTAAGAATCCTGCTGTACAACCAATTAAAGCACCTCCAGGAAATGATAATTTTGGAATAGATTGAAACCCACCTTCGTTAAGAGCTCTAGCACCATAAGCTATTCTATAAAAAAAAATAAAATGGTAGCACAGTGAAGTCGAGGCACAGTGTGGATGTTCCATAGTTGAGACAAGTATAGATGATATCTGACAGTGATTAAAATCACTATCATAAGAAACGCTTCGATGCAAATCTTTATTATTATTTGTTATTTGTCGCTAAACAAATAACAAATGATAAATATTATCATACTACGCCTCACCTCCAGCCTATATTTTAAAATAATAAAAATTTCCGAAATAATGGGTCAAAAGTTGTTATCGACCTTTTTGTTATCGAAGTTGTTATATGAAATTACATTCATTGAAAAACTTTCATTTTAATAAATCATCTCTTGTTTTAAATTGTTTTACCTAGTTAAATACGATTTAGTACCTAGTTAACATACTGTATGTATGTTGTCATTAAAAAAAATAATGTTGACAAACTATTAGTTATAAAGGATGATTAATAAATAGTAATTAATAACTGATAAATCAAAAAATACAAAGGGTGTAAAAATTGCTATTTCAAAATTTTTTCTTATTATACATAATTAAAATATGCTTTGAACCTAGTCTAAGACAATAACTATTTCAATTTTTTTTTAACAAAATGATAATTGGGTTAAAAGTTATTGGATTTGTTAAATCTTTGTGACTCACTCGTAATTTCGCTGTAAGTTTTTTTTTTTGAGAAAAGTCACTATATATTAAAAGATTTTTAAACTATAAAATTTAATCAATTTTCACCTTTTTCCATCTTCAAACAATGGTTTCACGTGCGGGTGATGTTTGAATCGTTGAAATTCTCTAAAAGGACTTAAATACGGATTAGAGTAATCGAGCCCCACAACAAAACCAGCAGCTACTAGAGGTGTTGATTCATTAAGATGATAAATAAACGATCCTCCATACGTATTTTTATCCTAAAAATAATGTTAATTTTAAAAAATACCATTACAGTATAGTAGGGATCCGAAAACAAAAAATGTTAAAGGAAATTTTACAAATTTTGATATTGACACTTTCTACTACTTAAAGAAAAAAAGTTATTATAACGTTTTTCTTTTTTTAATCTTAAAGTAAATTTTAAAAGATTTAATTTGGTTTAGGTTTAAAGAACGCAGACGTTCCAGAACAATATCAAAATTTGAAAATTTTGTGTACATATGTTTCTATGCTTACACAGTACTTGTATTTAGAGTTTGATAAAATTTTTATAAAAACTCATGTTATTAGAAAGTTAATTATTTTTAGTATTACTGATGAAAAATCTATTGAAGTTTGTGAATTTTTAAAAATGCTAAGGCAAAAGTAAAAAATTTCGAAAATTTTTACTTTATGAGTTACTCATAAAATAATTACAGCCAAAACGTTTTTCTCTTTTTAATCAATAGGCCAGTCAACGAAGGAAAAATGGCGGAAAAAATTCCTAATCAAATTTCTTTTATTTTAAAAGTTGAATTAAGATATTGATAATGACATACTAAAAGTCCTCATCGATTGGACTTGAGCTTTTTTTTTTTACAGCTTCACAAAAGTTCAAAAATATGAGCTTTTTTAATTTTCTCAAAAAATATTTAACTTACAAAAAAAAGTTTCGTACAAAAGTTGTTTAAAAAACAATTTAAAAAAAGTGTATCTTATATTTTTTCATTTAAACAAATATTTTTCGAGTTACATTACATTTAATATGAGTACTAAAATTTATTTTCCAATTTTTTTCATTATACGGTTACATTTTATCATGTTATATTTACATTAGACACAATGTTATAAATGCATATGTGTGTATGTGTGAGTTTATTTATTTATAGTATCATTAAAGTGTAGTGTATATTAAGATACAACCGATAGTGTAGGTAATTGATTTGACGCTATATTGTTTAAACCCAACTAAACGCTAAATTGTACATTCCCAAACAACAATTATATTATGTCAATTGCCACCGGAATTTCTGCTAATAATATAGATAATTGTCATAAAACGGCCTTTAGTCTGGTGCTGGAGGTGCTAAAAATTGTGGTTGCCGAAACACAGGGCTTAATTTTTCTATTATATGTGAACATTGCAAAGGTCAATGGTGTACAAATTCAATAGAAATAAAGATTGAAGATTAAGAAAATTGTACTTTTGTTGAAGATATATTCTCTCAAAATTTAGAATGGGAAAATGAATAAGAAAATGGAAAAAAATTTTGTTTGATACATTTGTCAAATAACTTTATAGTGGAGAAATCCTCCATTGATTACATACTTTGCACTAGTAATGCATATAACTTGTATTTAGGCTATAAATAAGGAAATAGGAGATCATGTAGCTTTTGTAATAATCCATTAATATTTTAAAATTAAACACTATCTACAGATTTGCATCTAGACGTTGTTTTTGATAATGATTTTAATCACTGTAACATATCATCTATACTGCACCCAATTATACACAATGTGCCGGGACACTGCCGGTTTTTTTTTTTAATAGCGATTAGTTCAAATAGTAGCAATGGGTTTTGAAGTTATTGAAGATACAGTTATAAATTTATTTGACCTATTTATATCATGAAAGTTATTATCTACCATTGAGTTTACTAGAACAAGACTAATTTTAGACACTTTATGACAATTAATTTTATCATTACCAGAAATTCTGACTGGGTTGACAAAAGAGAACATGAGGTAGGTGAAATGAGGAGATCAGTGACAATAGGCAAGAGTGTGAATAGGGAGGTAGAAAGTTTTAAGTATTTAGAATCAATAGTGCAAAAGAGCGGTGGTATTAACGAGAATGTAAGACACAGGAATAAGTGCGGGTGGTTGAAGTAGAGAGAAGCGTCTGGTGTCTTATGCGATAAAAGATTTCCAATGAGGCTAAAAGGTAAATTCTACAACAATGTAGTGAGACCAGCAATGGTGTATGGTTCAGAGTGTTGGGTGATTAATAAGANAGTGAGACTAGCTATGATGTATGATTCAGAGTGTTGGGCGGTTGATAAGAAAATAGAGCAGAGAATGAGTGTAGTAGAGATGAAAATGCTTAGTTGGATGAGTGGAGTGACTATAAAAGATAGAATAAGGAACGAGCATGTAAGAGGTAGTATAAGTGTAGCGTTAATCGTGGNGAATGCTTAGTTGGATGAATGGAGTGACTAGAAAAGATAGTATAAGGAACTAGCATATAAGAGGGAGTATAAGTGTAGTTTCAATCGTGTATATGATGAGAGAAAATAGACTTAGATGATTTAGTCATGCTATGAGGAGAGAAGAATCGGAAGCTGTAAGAACAATTATAGAAATTAATGTTGAAGGAAGAAGAGGTAAAGGAAGACCAAAAAAGAGATGGAAGTATGTTATTGAATGCGATATGAGGACAGCTGATGTGAGCGTAGATGATGTGGAGATCGCGTCAAGTGGAAGTTTAGGATGAGGGTGGCCGACCCCAAGTAGTTGGGATTAAGGCAAAGAAAAAGAAAAAGATTAGCAGAAATTCCGGTGGCAATTGACATAATATAATTGTTGTTTGGGAATGTACAATTTAGCGTTTAGTTGGGTTTAAACAATATAGCGTCAAATCAATTACCTACTCTATCGGTTATATCTTAATATACACTACACTTTAATGATACTATAAATAAATAAACTCACACATACACACATATGTATTTATAACATTGTGTCTAATTTAAGTATAACATAATAAAAAGTAACCGTATAATGAAAAACCCAGCACAGGGGAGTCGCGGCACAGTGGTGACGTGGCATATTTGGATCAAGTATAATGATATCTGACAGTGATTAAAATCACTATCAAAAAAAAACGATTCGAGCAAATCTTTAGATAGTGTTTAATTTTAAAAAATTAGTGGATTATTCCAAAAGCTTCATAAACTGCTAGATCCTTATTAATATCCTGATTAAGATAAAGTATGTCGAATGAAAAAGGGATTATTAAAAAATAGTATTTCCCATAAAAAAATTATATTGATCAATACACTTTTCAATAAGTTATAGCATTATAAAGTTAAAAATGTAAAAAATAAAATTGAGAATTTTCACACAATAATAGCATTTTCACCGTGAAGACAAAATAAAGTCCAAAAAATTTTTTTTGCATAATAAAGTAAATTACATTAGCTTTAATTTAATATATATAGAAAAGTGTCAGACTTTCCGGAACACTTTCAAAATTTAAGTTGAAAAAGTCAATTTTTTGTGAAAAAGTTGTCATTTTGAATCCCCCCCTGTAGGCAGGTAAAAAGTCAGATTTATAAAAAAAATATACCAAATGATAGGTAAAGACATCATGCATCTACAAAAAAAAGAATTATATTGATCCATACATCTTTCGAGAAGTTATAGCATTATAAAGTTAAAAATATAAAAAAGAATTTTTTTACAAAAATCGTATTTTTTTTATTAAGTTTAATGTCTGTTTTCACCATGAAAATAAGATAAAGTCCGAAATTTTTTTTTACCATTATAAAGTATATTACATTAGCTTTAATTTAAGATATATATAAAAGTGTCAGACCTTCCGGAACACTTTCAAAAGTTAAGTTGAAAAAGTTCTACTTTCTATATGCATTTTTATGTTTTGAATCCTCCCTGTATTAACGGAAATGGTCCGATTTAAAAAAAAAATATGTCCAATGAAAGATCTATATAAATATTACTTTTCATAAAAAAATTGTAATGATCCATATATTTGTCAAAAAGTTATAGCATAATAAAGTTAAAAATGTAAAATACAAAATCGAAAATTTTCACACAAAAATAGCATTTGGTAGCCATTTTCACCNAAGAATTTTTTCACAAAAATAGCATATTTTTGCATACGGTAGTCATTTTCACCATGAAGACAAGTCCAGAGGTCAAATTTTTTTTTTTCAAATTAAAGCATATTACATTAGTTTTAATTTAAGATATATATTAAAGTGTCAGATCTTCCGGAACATTTTCAAAAGTTAAGTTGAAAAAGTTAATTTTTTTTGAAAAAGTTGTCACTTTGAATCCCCCCTTGTGGGCAGGTTAAGGGTTAAATTTATGAAAAAAATATACTAAATGAAAGATAATGATATTATGCATATATGAATTATATTGATATGTTCATTTTTGAAAAAGTTATGGCAGTTTTAAATAAAAAAAATTAGCGATTTTTAAATTTGTAATTTTTTTGGAGGTTTCCCCCATTTACGGGGAACGAGGGAATTTTTTTCAATTTTGAAGGGTAATGTCTTCGACTAGATACGATTTGTGATCTTTTGACGTATCATTGAAAGAAATCGGTTCGGTGAGAGCTGAGAAAAAGTGGTAACAGACACAAAAAAAAAAAAAAATAAACACATCTTAGTAAAACCAATACCTTCTCAGCTTCGCATCGAAGCTAAAAAATTGGAAAATAAATTTTAGTACTCATATTAAATGTAATATTAAATGTAACTCGAAAAATATTTGTTTAAATGAAAAAATATAAGATACACTTTTTATTTAAAATTGTTTTTTAAACAACTTTTGTACGAAACTTTTTTTTGTAAGTTAAATATTTTTTGAGAAAATTAAAAAAGCTCATATTTTTGAACTTTTGTGAAGCTGTAAAAAAAAAAAAGCTCAAGTCCAATCGATGAGGACTTTTAGTATGTCATTATCAATATCTTAATTCAACTTTTAAAATAAAAGAAATTTGATTAGGAATTTTTTCCGCCATTTGCCAAAATTACTCTTTCGTTGATTGGCCTACAAATAGTTACTATTTACTATTCATTTAATAGTACATAGAAAAGCTTTTATTTTTTTTAGTTTTGAATACTCCGTTGCTATTCTAAACACTTCAAAATAGTCCATTTTGCCGAAAATTATATGGTTTCTAAACTTATTGGACGATAACTACGTTTACACAAAACAAAAACATGACAACAATAAAAATACCTGC